GTTTGATTGACATCTCTGGTATCTAGATTAAGGTTGAGAAAGAGAAGGACTGAGAAATTGAGTTGGGGCATATGAGAGACTGAGGGAGAAGAGAATTCAGCATGGAAAAGAAAAGAAAGGGTGGTTGGACCCATCTTATTATTTTGGGTTAATAATAATTAGTCCATCTTATTAAGGATAACTACCTCTTCTTATAATAAATTCAATTAAATTAATTGTAATTATGTATTCTTCGATTTTGCATTTTATCTTTCCCAAATTTCTAATACAAGTACAAATTTTTAAGTGTGGATAAGCATTTATTTATCTGATATGTAAAAACTAGATTAATAATATATTTGATTTCTTTTATCACATTATCTAATACTGAGTTGTGTGCAATCTATCGTTATGTAGTCCATCATACCTAAATACTCTTGTAAACGAACATTTACACTTTGAAATTGAACACCTAATTTTAAGGAAATACAATTTTAATTTAACCGTCTTAATCTACGTTCAAATCCATTTTTATATCTATTGTTAGATGAGGGATTAAATGATGAGGTACATCTTAGCCGCAACATCTATGATGAGTGAGACACAATTATGAGATCAATTTTTGCTTAATCTAATAACATCACGTAACGCTGATTAATAAAACACAAGAAATGTTAAGAACACTCTCTTAGAAGTATGATTTTTTACCAATTCTCATCCGTCTCATATTTTTAATACAATTTTCATACCAACATGATAAAATAATGTGTCAGAAAAATTGATGTGGCAGACTGTCTATGAGAGCCTTATTTTAAGTGCGTCTCCTTGACATTTCATAAAAACTTTTCACTCAAAAATTACATCCAAGATTATTTAATCGATTAATTTGCCGGCCCAAACCCGCCGTCTAAAGTAATAAAAAAATATTGATTCGTTATCTTAAGGTGTTTTCAAAATATTTATAAAAAAAGTAGCCAAAAGTTAAAAACCGAAAACTATCGGGGAGTTATGCTGAAAGTAGAGACTAGCGACTAATGTGAGGTCAACTCCAACACACCCCACTGTATTTTTCATAATTACACAATTTAAAGGGGTCCACGTAAGAAAATAGTGTACTTACGTGGAGGCGCGGAGCCCGCTTTGGTTTCGGCCCACACACCGATATCGGGTCGTCTGAAATCCGCGAACAAGTCCACAAGATTTTCGGCCCCCCATGCAGTCTTGCATGACGCTGACACGTAGCGTATGGCTCTCCGCCACGCTGGCCGCCTTCACGTGGACCCGAAGTACGGACGCTCGCTGCGCTGCGACGGGTGTGGCGGTGACGTGGGCGAAAGTGACACCGACAGCCGTGGCGAAGGCGCGTCGTCGGCGAGAGTTGCGTGGAGCGAACGGTGGGCGGGACCCGGCGGTGACGTAATGGCTCCTGGGGTTAGGTCATGCAAAGAGGGGAGCATGATCGGTCGCCACATGGAGCAGGAGGGAACCGCCGAAACGTAATAAATAAAAGGAATATAAAATTAAATATTTTATTTGTATTATTTTTTTATCATATGGGAATTTAAAAATTAAATAAAAATATGTGTGAGTTTTGGAATTGGGGCGGCTGTTGTTCTTTGTTGGGCTGTCAGGTAAGCCAGTACGGATATGGGCTCTGTTTGGCTGGTGGGATATTTATATACTGCATAAAATGCTACTTGGGAATAAAAATATATAAAAATATTGTAATTTTTAATATATAATACTAGATAATAATTTAATGAATTCAGTAAGTATATAGTTTGGATCCGATGTTTGGGAAGGATCTGATGGCATTGCAAAAGGAAATCTATAACAAACAGAATCATGTGCAAGGAGAGATATATGTAGGAACTTTGGAGCATTTTGAGCTCGTTTGAATCTCATGATTGGATTTAAATTAAACGGTTTTATTGTTTGGCTTAACTTGTATCGATATATTTGGATTTGTTCGTATCCAAGATATTTAGACTGAATCATCCGCTATCTCATCAAGTCATTAGCTCTCTCCTTTTTATCTTTGCTTTTCTCTCTATCAACTCTTTTTTGGAGTGGGAACTGTGGGATGATTAAAGGATCTAAATGGTTAAGTCAATATTTTAAGGGTGGTGCTATTCATACATCTCTTTTTATTTTCAACGCACCTTCTGTTAATTTTTATCCTTTAATCTTCTTTAGTTCGTTCAATCCAACGACAGAAAATTGAGATGTGTAATATACATGTAACTTTTTTCTGGTGAGTTGGACAAGTGTTTAAAAAAAAAAACAACAATATTATCAGAGTGCAAATTGCCTATTTGTACCTACCCGCAAAGAAGTGAGCAATGTATAATCTAAGAACTAGGCCCACTTACAAATGGAGTCCACGGGCTAGGTTCACTGTTCTACATTGGCTGAATGTGTGTGTGTGTATATATATATATATTGGTTTCTAATCTTTTGATATATCGTTGATTTTAACAATTATACAGCCTACATGATACTCACACTGAAGTAACTAAGGAACTAACTTCGTTTTTTGGTGGTTGATTATTGATGTGGGTGTGCCAATTCAAGCTCGGTTTGGCGAATGTCTTGAATGTATGAAATGCGCTTCTAACACCTAAATCGAGCAATTTCTACTAAGGGATAAACACTCTCGATCTTGAGTTCTATAACCTAAAAACAAGGTTATGCAACTCACTATGAAGCTTTGAATCTTGTGCACCCTTTAGCAGCCTCGACCATAGAGGTAAGAATATAGGTCTACTGAAACCGGTATCAAACTATAGGACAAAGATACTAAAAAAAAAAATGAGTGTCTTTATTGTACGAGGTGTGCCCGTCGACATATTGAACTCTAAATATGACTTGGGAGTATCCAATTATAAAAACACGCCACTTCACTGAGAAAGCAAATGAAGTGACATTTTTCCACAAGAGAATCAAAGCCTCTGCGCCAGCAGAAGCTTTAGATAATTAACCAGTCGGACTTGAGAAACTCGCCATTTAACCAAGCAGTCGGGACTTCTAAGTATAACTGATTCTACAACTCCGTGGCTGTCTAACTAGACTGTCGCCTTTGCTGGTTGCCTCTGGAAAACTTCATCTAACCAGGCAATGTTTGTTCGTCGGTTGCCAACCCAAATTTATCTAACCAGACTGTATTCGTACTAACAATTAGTAAAATAGTTAGTATTTTTCTCAAAATGTGAGAGAATTCACATAGAACGTTGATTTGTGGTAAATTAAATGTCCAAAACCTCTTGTATTATAGGGACATGCGTGCCTAAGATGATAAGTTATAAAAGCAATTTTGATTGCACCATGCCTCCTGAGAGTTTATCTCATTTTCTCCTTGCTAATTATCCCATGTCAGACTCAGATAACAGGATTGTCATTTGAAGACCATGTGCATGCATGACATCAATCCTCTCCTTAAGTTGGATTCTAGATTAATACAATTCCAATAATTGCATGTTTGTGCATGACATTAATCCTTTCCTCAAATTGGACTCTCCCCTACGCGTTGCACACTGTGCCATAAGACACAATCCTCGGCTCATCCATTTTAAATTTTGCCATCATTATCCCGAGTCAAACTGATTACTTGATAATTAACTTTGATAAAATTCAACGTAATGTGGAGATCAAATTTATAAACCAAATTTTATAAATTAAATGATGTAGATGTTGATGAATGGATCATTAAGTACTGGTCAACGTGCTTATTTCTACCGGTGACACATCATTTAGTTTGCAAATCTAGTTATAAATTTGACATCCCTAGCATTATCTTTATTCTTTTCTTTTCACTTTGCCTTGACCTCCCAGCTACGAAGATAATTTTCAGAATAATTATTATGATAATTAAAATTCTTAATAACATCAAGAAAAGTCATTGAAAATCACTTTAAAATCTTTCTTGAGGCCTAGAACACTTAACCCGATCCTGCAAATCGGGTCCAAACAGATATATATATATATATATATATATATATTGGGGGTAGAGTGAATCTTACTCACTAGCAAGAAAGAAGAGCTGAGGAAGAAAAAAAAGATGGGAGGGATAACTTCTTCTCCGACTGTCTCTCGGGTAACTTTTTCTCACGCTTCTCCCAATTTCTGCTGAAAGATTGCATCTTTCACTCACAACAAAAATGATCCATCATTAAACACTGTAAAAGTTTATCTCTTTGTTCCTCAGTAATTGTAGCCTTATCACACAAATTTGAGTTATTAAGTGGGCTTTGGTGACACCAATTAAAAGCTCTAGATGGAAGTCTCAAGGAGGTGAAATAGTAAAAATGAATGATGACTTTTCACTTATGCCATTTATTTTCTACAGGTATAAGGTTTTCGTATATAACGAGACATTTGCAATGAAAAGAGCATTCCATCTTTCTATCTACCTATCTCATTAAACAATTTGTGCCAACTTTGCTCTTTCTCTTACCCAACAAAACAACAAGAGCATAAAGATAATACAGCTTTCTTTCACATCTCTTCTTCTACGTCTATTTCAATTGTCCAACGCTAGCAAAGAAAATAAAAAATGCGATTTATTGCTCTCGTTCCACTTCGATCTCAAGCAAAGCAAAGCTAAGGTTCTCTCTCTTGCTTCTGCCTATTTACAAGGTAAACAAGAATTTTGAAGAACGCAGATGTGCGTGTACTTGTAGTTCAAGCATGGAATTGATTTTTTACTTGGGCTTGTCAGCCTTTTATAGATATTTTGGCCGATATATGAGCCCTCTTTGTTGGGCTTGTTGAGTATGTCTTTCCTTGTTTTGGGTTTGAGGAATTGTTGGGCTCATTCAGCCGATTCTCTCTCCCTTTGCGTCTTAATTAGAAGATATACGGTCTAATTAACATCGCGGTGTACATAACAGAATGATTTTACAAATATTTTTATTGTTTTGTCAAACGATAAATTTTGTTAAATTAAATGTTAGATTAGTCACATGAGGTCAAAAGTCCAATCGATCGTGCAATTAAGGGAGAGGTAGAAAGAAGTTAGGGCAGAACCAAGCGTAACACACAATCCTTGAGAGGAGAGAGAGAGAGAGAGAGAGAGAGAACGAGAGAACTATAAATATGTTATATATGTATATATCCTCCGGAATCCTCCTATCCAACTTCTGCACAACCCCTTTTCGCTTTCTTTGTAGTCTGAATTTTGCTTTTTAACAGTTTCGATTGTTGCAGGTGTGAACCCAGATGGGCAAGTCCTCTTCTTCTCGTACCAAGAAACGCTCCAATGTTTCCTCCGAGGTTGTCTTTCTCTCTCTATCAGTTGTTGTCGTGTTCTAGGTTTCTCGTTTTTTGTTTAATTACATGGGTTTTCCTTCCCTGCTTAAAAGATTACTTCTTTGTTTGGTTTTGTTCTTCCGATTTAGGTTTGGAATCGAAAACGAAACGAAAAACAAATCGAAAATTTTAGGCAGCATTATAAGTAGTTTGCTAAGAAATATGATGTTTTGACTATAATGTTGTACAGATATATTTGCACGATTATGTGTGAGATTAAGGTTTTATAATTTGGTTCATGATTGCCAATGTCTTATGCTAAATGCTAATTTATGTATGTGATTGCTTTAGGCTCGAACAAGGAAGAAAAGTAAGAGTAAGACCAAAACAAGGGAATATAGATCCAAGAAGCTTCGCCGTCGTGACGATTCTTCTTCTTATTCCGGTGAGGATGATTCAAGAAGTTTGAAATCGTTATCGTCTTTTAGCTCAGATGATGATTTGAGAAGTAGAAGGGCTCGATCGCGCGCTAGGAAGGATGCAAAAGGGAGCAAGAAGAGGGCTCAGAGACGATCTTATAGCCCTGACAGCAGCGGGGACTCTCCCCGTAGAAAGAAGAGGAAATTGGCAAAGAAGAAGAATGATAAGAAAACGCATTTGAGGAAGAAGCCTAGGAGGAATGTTAGCGTTAGTTCCAGGAGTAGCGCGTCGTTTAGGTGCTCAACTTGTCCGAGTGAGAGTATTAGCGGTGATGAGATTGAATCTAAGAGGCATAGGGGCAGACCTGGAAAACGAAACAGAGTTGAAAGTGGGATTAACAAGGTTGAAAGTGGGACTAAGAAGGCTAGGTATAGGTCAAGGAGTTGTTCTTTGTGCAGTCAGCGTAGCGAGAGTGGTGATTGTCGGAGTGAGGAAAAAGTGACATATGAGAACAATTCGAGGAGGTTGAGATCTGTAGTTACGGTAGCAGAAGAAAACGAGCATGGAAGATGGATGGATACGGATGCGCACAAAGAAGAGATTACATATGATGACGACTACCCTTCTTGTAGGAGTAATGATAGTAATGATGGAGGGGGCAAGAGGGAGTTGGATGATCGTTTGGATGTTGCATTTGAGAAGAGAACGGAAGTAGAGAGTGGGAAAGAGGAAGAAGCTTATGTTTCTAATGTTCTAGTCATGGATCTCAAAGATAGTTGTAACATTTTGGAAAAAGATTGTACGGGCCAAGATGATGGAATCGGGATTTCTGGTCCTGCTAATGAAAATAAGAATGAGGTTTCTGGGGCAATCATTAGTCTGCCAGGTGAGGATCTGGAATCAATTTTAAGACAAAGGGCTTTGGAAAATCTAAAAAGGTTCAAAGGAAAGCATCAAAGAATTTCAGCGGTAACTACCAATCAGGAAGACAAGACCGACATTGATTTGACACAGCCGTCCACTGCAAAGGTTGAATTGGTTCAAATAGAATCGCCCAGGGAGGGTGGTGCTAGAGTGGTTGTAGCAAAGTCATCCGAGGAGGATGTTGCTGAAAGGGTTGATGCAACGCAATCAGTAGAAGAGGCCAATGGGCCTCAAGAGAGAGTTTCCATTCTTTCTTCCCAAAACCTGAAAAAGGAACCCGATAGGATTAATAGTGGCAGTGAATTTATCTCTGCCAAGCAAGATGTTGCTTGTCCAATAGAGCAAGTTGGTTGTCCAATAGAGCAAGTGGCTGTCGGCAGAAAGATTAAGACCACTGCTTCGCTCTATAAACCAAACTCGACTTCACCAACCTTGAGGGGCCATTTGCTAGAAGCTCACCAAACGCTGAAACAAGAACCTGCTTCGCAGGAACCTCCCGAGGAAGGATTGTTGGTGAGTGAGAGTAATGTAGATAAGGGTGCTTCTGATATTGCCCAAACCGTGCCCCAAAGAAGCAATAGAAACGGTGAAGATGTCAAAGATAGTTCTGATATACAGCAAGATGAAGCTACTGATGGCTCACAGTTTGAGCAGAAAACAATGTCGGTGATGCGAGGTAGCGAAATGGTACAGGTGGGTGTTTTGATCCGTCACAAATTTGCTTACTTCTCTTTCTGTATTACCGGATGTCCCTGAAAGGCAGGCGTTTTCTACCACTAGCTTTAACGATGTTTTAATTTATTTTTTGGCAGGTGAGTTACAAGGTTTACATCCCTAAGAAAGCTCCTGCTCTGGCGAGGAGGCAACTCAAGCGCTGATATCTGATCATCGTTCTGGTGCGCACAATTTGCTCTTGATTAAAGCGTTGCATTGCACGGTCTGATTGGCTTTCTAGCAGACATTTTCATCCGCGGTTTGGTAGTCGTTTTTGGTAGTTATATCATCTGACACGCATCTAGGTTGAATGACATTGATATACTTCTCTCTTTTGTGTTCTTTTTCTTGTTTATGTAAGTTAAGTTGCTCACAAATATGAAATGAATAATAATGAAATAATATGTTCAGGATATTACACTGCGCGTATCGAATCCTTCTGCAAATATGAAATGAATAATAATGAAATAAAATTATGAGGTAGATTCAAGCTCATGAGAGTTGTCAATATCTGTGTTTGGAAAAGAGGTATCTCTCTAGAACGTCGACGCCGGTCATTGTTGCTCGGCCAAGAGAAACCCGATTACAATACAAGATCATCTGACCTACTCCCGGGTGAAAAGAGTTTCTACATGGAAAGAAGCTGCATACAAGTTGTCATGGGTCACTGCTGCTTTTTCCCAAGGTCAGTCCTGCTAATTCACAATACTGTCTGGCTCGCTTATCCAATGGTACTTCCGTCAACGTTTGAAATGGCAGAAAGTTAGCTTTCAGAAAGATTCTGCTTCTTTGTTCCATGAACACAGGCCCAATCATCCATCTCAGTAATCGATACGTCTTCTAATAACTGTGAATACCGCTCTACGATATGTGGAAGCTGCAGGAACACGGGCACAACGAAATGAGGACGAGGAACCTATGTATGATCCAATATATACCAATTCATTTAGAATTTCTGAGTGAAATTCATGGTGGATCGAAAGAAAACCACCATGTTTGCGCAGCCAAGCTAAACATCGCTTAAGAAACAGATACTTAAACCTTAGGTTGGCAGCTTCATGAATTTGGAAAACGTTCCTATAGCTTACCAAGCAACATGTAACCTAAACTTTAGCAAGCAAATGACATTTACAATCCATCACCTGTGCTAGAATGATACCTGCTCAGAGATAATGCCAGAGAGACCGACGACTGCCCCAGGCTTTGCATAAGAGACGATATGATCCGCCAAATCTAATAGGGGATTCAAAAGTATATTTGCGATGACCACGTCGTACTTGTTTGTTTCTAAGATGGATTCCACTCCAGATGAGCTCCGATCTTCCACACCTCCGCATGAATCTCTCGAGGTAGAGCTAGTTTTGCTGGGGAGCAGGTGCAATTGCATCTTTTCAGGTCCTATGTTGTTCAGAGCAGCATTCTGCCGCGCCGAAGTAATTGCTTGGGGATCTATATCAATTCCGACTGATAAGGCAGCACCAAACTGCGTTTACAGTCAAAATGCCAACATCATTTGAAAGGAATTACATCACAATAATGAAATGTGCAAAAGATCAAATGGATGGAGTTACTCAGCAACATCATTTACAAGATTTAGTTAAAATACCTTAACTGCAGCGATTGCGAGAATTCCAGAACCTGTGCCATAGTCCAAGAATAATTCTCTTCCCTTTATCAATCTACGGAGCAGCAATAGACATAACTTGGTAGTAGCATGCTCCCCGGTTCCGAATGCCAATCCAGGATTTAGAATTATATTAGTTGCTTGGGCATCCTGTAGGAGTTAAACAAATATAACTATATGGCATAAGAAGAGACGAGAGTAAGTAATTTGGCATCACTTAGCATTAAGACAAATAACAAAGTGAAAGGGCGTGAACATATACACGCAGATGTGCCTGAGATCATGCGTCTGCCAAGACGTTTCAATAAATTTCTGAGTGTTGAGACGTAGAATTTTCCAGTACATGATCAAGTTGTCAATGCATCATGAACCACCATAGCAAACAAACCCTTTCAAAAAATAGTTTGAAACCAGAAGAAATAGTGTAATACTATCATACCGGGGGAATTCTCCACTCGGGCACAATCCAAAGTCCTTCAGTAACTTCAACAGGATGGAATGATTCCTGTAAACAAAAATGGAAAAGCAGATTAAAGAAATAATGCTTAGAAAATATGGCCAAGAGTAAAACAGTACCACTGAGCATATTCACTGGTTGCTTTAACGTTCTGCATATTGTCTCTCCTTTGGCCAATAAATACCCTTATGCTGTTTAAAACAGTACTAGAGCTATAGCAAGTTCTTACTAGTGAAACTGATTTATCATTCAACAAGCATTAGCAAAAGATATCGCACCAAAGAGGATAATGATGAAGAAATTCTTTCCGAGGACAGAATTTACAAGCAAATTAACCTGAGTTTTCGTTATCCAGTCGAACTGCTCACCCATCTTAACTTCATAACTAGGCATCTCTTTCAAACTTACGGAATCTGCAGCACGTGAAATGCAGGTTTTTACATCTTCGCCTTCAGGAAATATGGAATCAATGCAGATCTGCGTTTAAGAAAAAAGGCGCATTCTCATCAGTTGTTCATCTGCAAAATCGTCTAACACTAGAAAGATAGCACAACGAAAGAAGCTTTCAACACATAAGGACAAGTAAAAAGCATTCCAAATGGAACGTCATAAATCAACAGGGAACCCACCTCATCCTTTCCGTCATTGTCATCTTCTTCGTCAATACTTGTAGAACTTGCACCGAAACATAACAGCGCTTCTGAAAGTATATCCTGGTCAACAAGGAGAACCAAGTTGGTTAGGCATTGTATTGTCTTCAACTTAACAGAGCCTTAGCTGATTCAACGAGTTTTGATAGTCTTTAACTCCATGTCTCTACTTCCAAGACCTCATCTTTTCAATTGAATGGCACGTAAAGTTGTAAACTTCAACTTTATTGATTACGACTAATAAAAAACATTCATTTTCTTCCAAATCCAACCAAAATGACATAATAATGAAACAAGTTGAGATTCCATCCTAAAACCAATTGGCATTAGCGGAAGCGGCCCAACTCCTTATAAGCCCTTACGAAGTTTCTTACTTTCCGACGTGGGAAAATCGTCACATCCTCACAATAAGAAAGTTTCTACCTTTGGTAAGAAAAAAAAAATTTAAAGAAGTTAAAAGTAAAAATTTTCTGAGTCCCCATTTCAATACAGACAATAAATTCCATACAGAATCAGTTTTCTCTCCATAATTTTCTGAGTTCCCATTTGAATATACACAACATATACAATCTCTGTGACCAAACATGCCCATAACATTTTCATTGGAATCCCAGTAACTGAACTAAATGCACCAAAAGAAGAAGAGAGAGAAGAAGCTCACAGCGACATGTTTTTGGCAGCGGATTTGAACGGAGAGGAAAGGCGAAGCGAAGGGCTCGTTGGGCTCGGCGGAGGGAGTGGGAGGGTCCGAAGAAGCAGTGGAAATATTTGCGGCGGCGAGGGAATTGGGCCGGGAGAGGTGTCTGGGTTTGGGGTTTGGGAAGAAGCGGGAGGAGAATGGGGGAGCGAGAGGGCGAGAGACGGTGGTGAAGCAGCGGGAGGTGAGATTGTACGCAAGGTGTCTGAGCAATCCGCCTGACATTATTGAAAATCAAAGTGTAATCACCACCTAGTGGGTTAAAAAGGCCTAATCGGATAAATGCTTATTAATCGTCGGTATTCGGAAGATGGGCCATGGTGAAAAATTACGAACTAAATTATTGTGATGAAGTCCAATAAGATTTAGGTTCAAAATTGAAAATTTCGTAATTTTTTATTCAAGAAGAATGAAATAGCGACGTGGGTGTTACGTTTTATCGTCAATTGAAATGAGTGAGGCTAGTTCGTATTTGAATAACTCACACCGCGATTTCATCGATCTGCTATGGAGAGTGGCTATGAATGAGTTTTAGTTTTGAGCTTCTGAGCGTTAAATGGTCGACCAAGAAGAGAAAATGATGATTTTAGCTTCACAATTGAGGCTCGCGCGCACGCTGTCATAACACGTATGAAGCAAAATCTGCAACCCCAAAGAAGCAGCCATGATATCTGTTGCCTTAGACGAAATCCGTTGAAGAAGAAACAAAATTGAAGTGGCAGACCGAGGGAGAGGCCCAGATTATGCAGTTAAAATCTGTCCACAAGGAATGTGCGCAGTGGATTTCAGCGAACAACGGGACGAGTCTTCTCTGATGCTGCAAGACACTGCGCGTCTATGTTCTTGGAGAGCTTTTCTGCCGTGGAAAATGCACCGACGTTGCTAACAACGTAAACAATTGCGGCAAGTGCGATAAGGAATGCTGCCGCAGAGTTAAATGTGTTTGTTCAACTTGTGGATATGGCTGAATAGTCAAAGGTTTCGTGCCAGAGTTTAAAGGTAATTGAAATGAATAAATATATGGCTACTTTCTGTAGCTACATAAGCAAAAAGATAGTTTGATTTGTTTTGTTGGTTGGAAAGTCTGTAAAATGTATTTGCTTAATAATTGTATAGAAAATACAACAATTAATGCACAAAATTAAAAAAAAGTAGGGAAAATATAATATGTACACATTTGGACTTACAAAAGAGAGCCAAACTTGGATGCAGCATATGCTTGATCTTTGGAATAAAACCTCTGGGTTTTAGGCTACAAAAACGCCACCTCAAGACTCGTTTAGATCCCATGAACAGTAATGTTAGAGTGTTCCCCGTTTCGAAAACTTACAGATAAAGAATGAGCTCAACTGCAAATTTCCCCTTCTTCGTAGGGTTAATTTCTCCTATCTGAACCAATGTAAATTTGAACATCATAAATGCCAGGCTAAAGACATATTAAGAGTTAAACATGAACATAAATATAAGAGATGGTTATGCACTTATGCTGATACTTAAACTCTTTAACAGATTATGAGGGTAATAATGCAAAATAATACATTCTATTAAATTACAGTAATATAACTCGAAAGCATCTCCAATCAAACGATGGTCAATCATAACCTTTGTTATTTGGGTAGCCTTATACCCTCACCAGTGTCATGGCAAAATGATATGCCAGGGTCTAGTTAGTGAAGAGTGCATATAGTGCAGATTATAACATGTAGTAAGCACTCGCAACTTCGATAACAATACAGTACTATACTACTCTTAACATATAAGAACGGGAAATGGTTCCATATCCAAAAGCACTACTTGCAAAAATACTGGAAAGGTATCAGGAACTGTACAAGAAGTGTCAATGTGTTTCATGTATGGTGCTACATAGCTGACAAGTAATTTGGTAAAAAAATAAAAAAATAAAGTAGTTTTCTTAATTACGGAAACTCACCCTTAGTCTTCCTTTACCTCTAACCGACACAATATCACCAGTCTTGAGTGTAGCTCCATTTTTAGTAACAGGGGTCCAGTTCACACGCACATCACCATCACTGCACAGATAAGAAAACGAAAGAACCCATCTAACTAAGAAGTAAACCAACAAAATATGATTAATTAACTCAATAAAGCTTAACAAAATTGCATATGACCAATAAACTATTATTCGAGCGAGAATTCTGTACAAGTGAAAAGACCGTACCGAATAAGATCAACTAGTTTTGTCCGTGATAACTTAAATCCTGCACTAGCTATAGCATCAACTCTCACTGATGCTTCTATGGTTTTGAACGACTTAGTCCTGCAAAGAGAACAAGATACTTAAGTAATTAATGATGCTGCATTATGGAGAATGGAAAAAAGATAACAATATGATAATTTGCAACCTTGGCGGTTCATAATCAAGAGCAATCAGTGGTATCCTCTTAAAAGATACTGGCACATTACTAACCTGCAAGGTGAAAAATTGTTTGCAAACATTAAACGTGTACGCTTAAATATTATGATATACATAGCTATCTTGACCTGTGATTCTGTGAAAAATGCTTCTCTTTTCATACTAGAAAATGTGAAACCATTCTTTTCTCTTTTGTTTATTATTTGCCACTGTTTTATCTCCTCAATGTACACTGCAATGATCGCTAAAAAATTAATGCCACAATAGTTCTTTCAGATGTTTTTGAGAAATTAAATGATAAACCTGAGATGTAACATTCAAAAATAAAATTTGCTCCAGAGATGAATTCAACCTTATGTAAGGAACCAAAAGAAGAAATAAAAAGACACAAAACCCAGAACTTTATTATTATTGACGTTAACGAGGAAGAACAATTCATAAGAAACAAAATACTCAGATGTTAGACAACCTTGTCGAGTGATGATATGATGAAGTCAACAAGTTCTGGAACAACAATGACTTGAGCTCCCTTCTCCCCCTAGAAGCATTACAAAAGATATAAAAAGTCATAAACACTTGATCCAACCAGGCCGTATCCCTCATAAACACGAAAAAAAATCCAAACTCCAAAATAATGGATACTGAATGCATCAGTGGGAATTACAAACTGATCACAATGGTATCCAATTGAAAGCTCTAAGACAGTACTGCACTTAAAGGTTGATGTTTCAAATTAATACTTCTCTATAAATACATTGAAAAGATATTGCCCTGCTATGGCAGGACCACAGCAACACTACGTAATGCCGTTATCACATCCACGTACCAATATAGGATACAGACATCCAAATCCTGACATTGAAATCCCATACGAAGTAGCCATTAATAAGTTGAGGCAAAGATTGACATGTGTTTGTTTATTTTAGCTCTGATGTTACAGAAGAGGAAATTCTTATTTAGTTTACATATAAAACCTAATGACCCTTCTCATTGGAAATTTTGATCAAGAGCTAAACCCTTAACCAAAAAAAATACAAATGATACCTGCAAGATAATATCTCCAAGCTTCTCCCTAGAAATCCCTGTACCAAGAATTGCGCCTAGGAAATCACCATGAGAACAAGGCTGGAACCCGAAGTTTCCTGTGATACTGGAAGAACCATTAGAGAAAACTTAAGATAAGGTTTTCCTTCAATTAAAGATGAATTCTTGGATAAATAAAAGTGGTACAGACACGATATTAATACCTCAATGCTGCAATTACATCAGGATCACTTGTCAATCCTTCCGGATGTCCTACAGAAATCCGACACCGCTCAGCCTAGACAATTTGAAGCGGCAACACATTAATTAATACAAGTACACTTTGATTTGCACAAGCGCAACACAGAGCAAATACTATTTAGTTCAACCTGCGGGTATCCACCTTGAACAACTACTTTCAGATCAGCTAGCTTTTCCAATGCTAGCATTGACTCCTTCACCACTGGAGGGGTGAGAAAATTTGTATGGAGAACCTCCCTTCTCGATGATGCACGTCTAGCCTACAAAAAATGGAAAACCAAGAATGACAACTTAGAAACATCTCTTCTCTTCATCTTCAAGTAAAAAAAAAGGTGAAACCTATTCAGCTATTCGATGTGACCTTACATTCATCTGTCTGAAAATCTGGACTTTATAAGTCTCTCTAAAAGGAAGGGTTAAATTAAGAAACAAAAAATATGGTCTTGATAAGGAAACAAGTTTTGAAGTACCATCTCGAGAACACGTTTTACTTCTTCAATAACAGTTTTGTCTGCCACTCCCTTAAGCAAACCATCAACATCCCCCTTTATAGCTTGAGCTAAATGGCATATTTCTGAAGCTGTATCAAGGAGAGTAATCCAGTGATTACGTAGCAAATCATCAGATACAAAAATAATGGCTTGTTTGATAACCATTTCAACTTATCCAATCCACAATTCAACCAAATGGGTAGTCAAAATTACAAGAAATTAGACAGTGGAGAGGGAAAGAAACATGATTTATGTTAAATAATCAGGTACCCAAAAGCGGGATTTGTTCGCAGTACCTGAAGAACTTAAGCGAGGAGTGAGAGGAAAGGAGATAAGGGTCCTGCGGCAAGAAAGCTTGCTGCTTGTCAGAAGAAGAGGATGCGAGAGAGCAAACGCCACGGTTGCTCTTCTTACAAGTGACGCTGCTAAGAAACTGGTGGCAGCCATGTCCCTCTCCTCTGAGCACTGCACAAGGCCAAGTGTTTGATTTCGTAAGGAAAAATGTGTGCTTCTCCCTTTTGGTGGGGCTTTTGGTTTCACAAAATTTAGCCCAGTATTGCACTTGCACAGGTTTACAAACTAGGGGTGGGCACAGGTCGGGGCGGGTCCAAAATTAGAGGGACCAAACTGAACTCGTTTGAAAAGAAAACCTCGCAAACTTACATCCTGATTGGCTGCCCCATCAACATTCAATTTCACAAAAGGATTATGAAATTCTAGGAATTTAGATTGATCAAGGGAGAGTACTATATCTCATTTGCTATTCTTCTTTTTCGTATTTCTTTTTATTCTGATTCATGAATTATCTCATTCTAAGTAGGTAAAGATACCTAAAACGTTACAGGTGTGGACGTAATCACATTGCCAGAAGCGAAACTGCACCACTTTACATCGAACTTTGAACCTCTCTTGTACAGTTTAAATTATAATCACTTGTATAATAAAAACATACCTAACAATCAAATTTGAAATCTACTTCAATATTATTGAAAGCATTTTTTTAATAAAGAGATATGATTTCGGGTTGTAGACTCACACTTCTTAAAGATCTAAATTTAAAGAAAATTAATGAAAATGGCTTCAAATCTTTACATTTTAATCAAAAATCACCCACTAACTTTATTTTAATAATATGGACAAAAGACTAAAAAAAAAAACATAACAAACCCACTAGCGCTGGGAGCGTACCCCCCCCCCCACCCCCTAGTCCACTTTTTTTCTCCTACCTTTTGTCCCATCATTCAGCTACATTAATAGTTTGTTTTTTATTTTTTGCATAGAATTTAAAAAAAACTTCGAATTGAATTACATTCTCCTGTTTTATTTTTGTGGTGTTGTTTTCTAATAGTAGTCATGATGATGAGAAACTTTTCAATATGCCTAGAACACATGATGGTACACTCCATACAAGTTGTGAGAATCTTGTGTTAAAAAATTAATAACATAAAAAATAAATTTTCCACCACTTATATAATAACATGTGGTATGTCATTTGTGTTACGGGCACAAGGAAAAAAATTTCGAAGATGACACCTAAGCTCAAGAAATTGGATGGAAAGCTACATTTATCATTGTAGGTATATGAAAAAAGTGAGGAAATTTTAATTTGGTAATTGAAAACAGCTTTTTAAATATAATTACTAAGAATTAAACACTATTTATAAAACTTGACTAATAATGGTCTAAGTTTCAAACCTTATGAAACTGAACCAAGAATTAAACACTATTTATAAAACTTTACCAATAAGTAGACACTATTAATGAAATTAGACCAATAAGTAGACATCATTTATGAAACTGGATCAATAAGTAGACACTATTTATGAAACTAAAACAAGAATTAGGCATAATTTGAACACTAGACTATACACTATTTATGAAACTGGAGTAAGAACTAGACAATATTTATGAATTATAACCAAGAAATAGGCACTATTTATGAAAGTGGACCAATAACTAGACACTATTTATGAAACCGGACCAAAAAAGAGACACTATTAATGAAATTGTACCAATTACTATACATTATTTATGAAACTGGACCCAATAATTAGGCATTATTTATGAAACATAATCAAGAACTAGACATCATTTTCTGAAAGTGGACAAAAAACTAGACACTATTTATGAAATTGAACCAATAAATAGTATAGTACGGTTTAGTTTCATAAATAGTGCAGTTTCATAAATAGTGTTCAGTTTTATAAACAGCGTTCAGTTTCATAAACACTGTACATGCACTGCTCGCCCGTCAGGTTTTTTGTTTTTGTTGTTTTTTTAAATTGTGTCATTTTCGTTAAAAATTAAGTTTTTTTGTCCTTTTTATTAAAATTTAAGGGTTTTTCATTAAATAAAGTTTATAGCATGGTTTTTTGTTAAAATAAACTTAATCCAAGCCTTTTTCATTAAAGTTATAATAACATTATTAAGTTCATTAAGTTGTTCTGGTCTTGGCTATGTAAAAGGTCGGGACTATGTTTTGGTCTTGTTCGCGAGGTTTCTCGTATTAATTGCAAAATTGAATCCCCAAGTTCTGCATTATATTATAGAACATCTCTTCCGTTGCAGTGATGTTTATAGTTTCACCAGCACAAAAAACCGAACCTTCCACAAAAACCACGACCAATAATATGATTATGAATAAATATAACCAATTTTGGTAACATTACAACGATGATAAAACAATAGCAAACCCCTAATTAAACTCAATGCTGGCTACTCCCAAACAAAAATGTTATTAAAAAAATTAATCATAACAGATGAAAAATGCAGAGTTTCTTACACTGATATGTACATCAAACCAGTATAATGCATAAACAGGAATCACACTACAAAAATAAATATCCAATCGCTACTCGAACCTCTTTCAAACCGGGTTGAGATCGCGCGAGACTTGCCCTTGCCATCTGCATCAAACATTTAATTATAAACTTGAAGGACTTGATCTCCGTGTTTTTTAATTAATGGTTTCTCTTGTTTACGTTTGTAACCAAGAGGGTATTAAAGTGATTGGTTGTATGAGGGTGTTGAGCCTGGCCCTAGACCCGCATGGCACACCTTACCCACCATGGTAGGTAGCAAACAAACATTTGACATTGAAACGTTCAGGTTTCTTTTTAAATGATGAAATCTGGAAATTCCGACAAGAACTTCTCATTCCAAATGATGGTTCAATTCCTTTTGATGAAAATTGCATGAAAGGTTTAGGACGCTTTCAATTCTTTAGAAACTAAAACTCGAGGGAAACCTTTTAGTTTTTGTTTCTTTTTACACTACAATCAGTGTCTGATAAGGTGAAAAAAGGAATATGAGAGAGAAACAACTTCGCTAACCTTGAGAGCAAAAATCTTGCGAGTGGGCTTATATTTGCATTGGATTGAAATTCCTTGTTCTGCTGCCTTTTCTTGTTATCAGTTTCTGCATTTTGTGTTTCTCCAGCAGCTGTCTTGCCCTTAGCGAAGATGTGAGCAGCCAACTCCTGTAGATCTTTCAATGGAGATTCCTTTGGACCTTTTGAACTGCAAAGGTTTTCTTCTATAAGTCCTCTAGACCACAGGCCACCATTTTAAGTGGTTGGAAAGAATAGGACAAGAAAAAAAAAAAAGACAATTAGTGAAACCTTGCTAATCGCTGAAGCAATTTGCTGACAAAAACTTCAGAAGATCCCGGCTTCAAACTCTCCAACTTGACCAGCGAATTTACAACAGAACGCACAGCTGACGCTTCTGAATCATCAGCATTGGCCTGCATATACACGAGGGTAAATTATACAAAAAAGGTAAAGCACAGGATCTGAAACTACATACACTATGACTTCAGTGGAGATGCATGCATAAGTGAAGAGAGAAAATGAACTAGCTCGAACCATATACACCACATCTTGAAGTTTATGTTGCTGATTCTAACATAGTTACAACCTAAAGTCCTAAACGTATGCGTACAACAAGCAATCTGCATCACGCCTGGACATTATGTTCTTCCACAAATCAACTATAACTCCTCAAATAATGTGGTATTTCTAATTAAAGACACCCACCCTATGACACCACAAAGCAATTAAAAATATGGTGCAACAGGCTTCTAACTTATGATAAACCCACAAGTTTGGCCAACAATTACTCCCTTAGGAGGAAAGAAAAAGAAGAAAACAATATTTCTTGAAGGTAAAACAACAAGGCAAGATTACCCCCTTGACACCATATCAAGCCAAGAGGTCTATGAATATATCTGAGTGTTCTCACCTCTTTTAACGAAGGGATAAGCAATATTGAAAGTGCTGCAGACGATGATATAACTTTTGCACTTTCTTCGTCATCACTTGATTGGGATGATCTTGGAAATGCCTTTGGGGCATCTAAGTATTCATGAGATTGTCTGAGGTAAAGAGAGTTGTTGCATAAATTAGAAAATTTCAACCCTATCTCGTATGTGTGCGCATGTGTGGGTGGGGGTGCGTGTAAAGATTAGATACAATAACGGCACTTTTTCCAATAGATGTACCTGGAAGAATCAGAGCTACTTGTCGTCTGCTCTCTTCTATTATCATGCGCATCATAGTTGATCTTGTTAAGTGCAGACCTATCTCTGGCATTTCCTTTCCTCCCTCCTTGAATTGCGGCCCTTGCCTGCATAAACATTGTCAACCCCAAAAGAAGCTTCATAAGTCAAGACACTGGATTACTGAAGCCAATAGCACTTCAACCATTAGGTTTTGGTTTTCTGGTTTTACTTTCAACCTAAAATATGACAATGACCTAGGAAATTTCAGAAGGGTACTAGGAAATTCATATTTACAACCAAAATATAAGGAGAATTTAGGGATGAAAACCCTAGGAGCAGATTGGATCTGGGACTTCATGGAATTCTGAAATCTACTGAAAGAACATTTTAAAGGAAAAGGTCTTTCAAATTTGATACTGGATGGTACCAAATGCAACTGACGAGTAAGTTAATCTATTTGGGCGACACATATCAACTGTTTGAAGATCAGTAGCTTTTTGCAATTACTCCAAGACGTTGCACTGAATTTTATTACACATGAAGACTTTTAATGTTTCAACTAGTACCGTTGTAATGTCAGAGATTTATTGAAGATCAGATAGCTAACTGATATCAATTGAAATATCAAAAGGCACCTCTGCAAGATTAATGGCACTGTCTTCGTTTGAGGCAGTTGATGTTTTCTCTTGAATTCCCAGCCTCGATTTAGGCGTTCGAGGAGAATCAGAATCATCATGTTGACCACGAAAAACAACAGTTCCACTGGAAGAAGTATCTTCATATGAAGCATATGTGCCGCTAGACTACAAAACAAAAGAAGCTAATCAAATAAAGGATAGGTGAGAAAGACAAATTCAAACTTGAATACTTTGGATTATTGTCATATCTGTACAAGATTATTACCAGAGAGTTTTGATCACGAAACTGAGTAGATGGTTGGGATCCTTTGGGAGTTCGTATAACAACAGTTCCTGACCCACTCACAGTCAATTCATCCTGGAAATACACCTCAAATTGCTAAATAATATATAATAACGTAACATGGTGCAAACAATCATGTATTCCAACTTTGAATCAGTTAACTAAAAGTTGATGTGAATTAATAAAAGCAACATTTTGCTTTTTGAGGAAAAGAAAATTGGCTTGGTAGACTACATACCCTGATTAACTTTACCCCGGTAAAAGCAGACAAAACTCAAAAGTGAAAATTAAGTAATGGTGTACAGCCTTTACTAATTATACAGATAAGAGTTCAGTAAAATCACAGAGTTTGAGACATACAACCTTAAAAATCTTTTCTCAACTTTGTATAGCCCATTGATGAAGTAAAAAAATTATATTTAAAGGTTGCAACTGGGATGTCACTTGTATAAAACATGAGTGAAAGAAAAAAGGAACGGGGGTGGGAGACTTACATCTTCAGGATTTGACTCATCATGATATGAATCTCTACCATTCCTAAAAAAATAATCTTCACGTGATTCTTGAAGAGCATTCCCAGACGCCGAGAACCGTTGGTTAGTACTCTCTGGGGCTCTTCCAGGGGTAATCTGACTGCCTTCTGGCTTTCTCTCTCTTGCCTGCGGTGGTTTTAGTTTTGGAACACTTCTAACAGTACCTGTACCCTGTGCTCCAATGCTAAAATCCCAACCAGCATTTTTCGTGGTCTTACCCTGGTCACTGCAAATTAAAACAAGAGTTAAACCACACAACCTGCAAGGCACTAGTGATCAGCAATATATAACTCACCTAGCTCCAACAGTTTCATCTCTTATATTTCTTGTCACTTTCACAGTACTAGATATCTCCCCTCTAGCTGTAGGACCATTTCTAGGGCTGTCAGCATCTTCCTTGATAGGGTATTTTGGACGCTCTCTGTAAGGTAACAATAAAGCATGGCATCTTAGCTAAACCATATTAATGGGCATTAGTTGCCAACTCAAAACACAAAGACATGTAAATGCCAGAAAATGAAACTATGTCTCAAGTTCTCTTATCCCCTGTATCTGTGGGCAGGCACAGCCCAGGGGAGCATCATCGTGTAGCAGGTTCATTCTAGAAAGAAAGATACATCACTAAAAATTTCAGGCACAATAGCAACATATAGCACCTTATTCTCTCAAGAAGCCTTGGACTCTTCCTTGCAGTCCGAATAAAACGGTGCTTTAGAAGTTCCTTGGCACTTGCACGCTGAGATAAAAGACAAAACAAAAAAACAAAAAACAATAAGCAAACTTGAAGAATTTATAATCAATTTAATGGATTGCAACCTGCTTTAATTTATATCAGCATAGATTTGAAGTGCTATAAACTGAAACAAAGAACTTCACGCTCTACTTATTGAAGAAACGTATCTACAAAAGCTGATCCAAACAATACTTAAATTTAACTATAACATTATATAACACTATCAACAGTTGCAGATAAGTCCAACAACAAGAACAAAGCCTTATCCCACTAGTGGGGTCGGCTATACAAATCCTTGAACGCCATTGCGATTGGTTTTGCACCAAGTCTTCCTTTAGCTCCAAGTACTCCATGTTTTTTCTTAGATTCTTTTTCTAGGTCTTCCTTAGTCTTCCTCTACCCCTTTTTTCCTAGGCCTCTGTCTCATAATCACACTTTCTAACCAAAGCGTTTGTAGGTCTTCGGTTAACATGTCCAAAGCACCTTAACCGATTTTCTCTCATCTTATCTTCAATTGCGGCCACTCCTAATTTACCTCGGATATCCTCGTTGTTAATCCTATCATTTCTTGTGTGCACACACAGCCAATGAAGTATTCTCACCTCCGCTACACTCATTTTTTGCACGTGTTGATGCTTGACCGCCCAACATTCCATGCCATAAAACACTGATGGCCTTATTTTCATCCTATAAAAATTTTCCTTGAGCTTTAGTGGCATACAACGGTCGCACAACACACCCGATGCACTCTTCCACTTCATCCATCCAGCTTGTATTCTATGGTTGAGATCTCAATCTAATTCTCCATTCTTTTGCAAGATAGATCCAAGATAATGAAAGGGCCTTATTCTCTTTGGTACTTCTTGATCTCCAATTCTCACCCCTATCTCATGTGGACCCCATTCCCACTAAACTTGAACTACAAATACTATGTCTTTGACCTGCTTAGGCAAAGATCTTTAGACTCCAACACTTCCCTTCAAGGTTAAGCTTCACATTTACTCCCTCTTGCATTTCATCTGTCAACATTATATCATCTGCTAAAAGCATACACCAAGGATAACATCTTGAATATGTCTCATTAACTCATCCATTACCAATGCAAAATGGTAAGGACTTAAAGATGCGCCTTGGTGTAACCCTATGGTTATGGGAAAGCTTTCAATTTGTCCTTCATGAGTTCTCACTGCAGTCCTCGCCATCATACGTATCCTTTATGCTTGGTTATGCTACTCGTAATCATTTCTTCTCTGGAATCCTCCACAAAATTTCTTTTGGAACCCTATCATATGCTTTTTCCAGATCTATAAAGATCATGTGCAAATCCTTTTGCATATCTCCCTATAGTTCCATCAATCTCCGGAAGACATAGATTGCCTCCATAGTCGAGCTTCCTGGCATAAACCCGAATTAATTGTTTGAGACCCGTGTCTCTTGTCTCAATCTATGCTCAATTACTTTCTCCAAAGCTTCATTATACGACTCATTAACTTAATACCCCTATAGTTCATGCAATTTTGTATGTCGCCCTAACAGTTGCAAATAAGTCCAAAGTAATATATTACAACCACAAAAGGTAGCCAAGTACCTTAAAGAAAATACGATCACTTCAATACTAACTCCCAATATAGGATTAAATGGGTTTCGAAGACCACCAATGTACTATCGTCTAATTATTGCTAAGAGAAAACAAAATAGAAGAATATGATAGTTCTCTTTAAGAGCGTATGATATAAAAAATTAAAAAATTAAAAAAATTAAAAAAAAACCAATAAAATTCGACAAGCATACACTGTCCTCAACTTCAACAACTCTCACTTCCATGTTCCAAAAACATATTCTCAATGTTTGTTTGTTTGATGACTGCCTTTAGTTTAATTTTATTTATGCAGGTTAATCATGTGGATATTCTCCACTGAGTTTGAAAAAGGGCCAGTTCCTGGATTTTCCTACACATCTTGGGGTAACCACAATGATACTGTCAAGTTTGTAATGATTTCCCACCTTTTAATTGGTCAAACAAAAAAATAGACAGAAAATTTAGTCAAATATTCAGATGGCATAAGTACTTACCTCAGCTGGTACCTTCCTCAAACAAAGTGCAACAAATTCTTTCATTGGCCGAGAAAAATGCTCATCCAACTGCACAACGAACAAAAATAATGGTTCTTTTATGTTGTGAGTAATATCTCCATATGGCTAAGAAGCAATTCATCTTGAAAAGTTCATTTACAAAGATAACTGCATCAGTGAGACACTACAGTATATTTAGAGAACCTGAGGTGGATTTTCTCGAGGTATAATGAAGAGAACTCTCATTGGGTGAAGATCAGCAAGTGGTGGTTCCCCTTTTGCCATCTCAATAGCAGTGATTCCCAGAGACCAGATATCTGCCTGCTTATGCAAAGAGTCAATGTGAGTCATTGATCAAGGCTCAGCTTGATAGAGAATGAGGTCACCAATAGGTATACCTTCTCATTATATCCTTCAGAATTCTGGATTACTTCTGGAGCCATCCAGAATGGTGTTCCTACAAATGTCTGGGGTTGTTAAAAAAAATTAGTGCATTCTAGCTAGCATATAACATTTAAGATATTACTTGTACATAATACAACACACAGTGAGCACAAAATAATACGTCTATAAGTTAAAACTATAAGTTAACCTAATCATTCATCAGATCTGATCAACAACAAAGCAAATGAATTCAAGTTTAATTATGGTACCTTCCTCCTTGATATTGTCCTTGTAAGTTGTGCGGAAACACCAAAATCGGCCACCTGTTACAAGTCACAAATGTAACTTGGAAGACCAAAGGCTCATAAATTTAACACCACCCTTCAATGCAGTTCCTACTTCTACTTAGCTAATTCTATGAACAAATTAAAGGCCTTTGACCATGAAGATATACCTTAACATCGCCATTTTCTGTCAATAAAATGTTTGCCGCTGCAATATTTATAAACGTGTCATTAAAACAAGAGCTAGAACAAGAAAGTTGAACTGATGAAACTAAATACAACAACAACAACAAAGCCTTTTCCCACTAAGTGGGGTCAGCTATATGAATCCTAGAACGCCATTGCGCTCGGTTTTGTGTCATGTCTTCCGTTAGATCCAAGTACTCTAAGTCTTTTCTTAGGGTCTCTTCCAAAGTGAACTGATGAAACTAAATAAAGCTGCAAAATGATATGAGGGTTGGTGGTGGGTGGGGGGGGGGGGGGGGGGGGAAGACATTTAAAAGCACAGAAAATCAAATTTTTCCAATGATTCTCTGATAAATATGCATAATTATGCAGAAGAGGAGGGGAGAACACCTTTGATATCTCTGTGAATTTTTCCTTCATTATGTAAATATTCAATTGCATGCAGCAGATCACGAAGAATACATGCCATTGACATTTCATCCAGTGGAGGACCTGATTGGAGCTGCAACAACACAAATGTCTGAGCATTCTGTAAGAATGCATGATAGATGCATACATTTGGGATTTTTACATCAGTTATCAATGCCACACTAGATGAATATGCACACACAAGACTTAACAACATTAATACAGCTAAAACATTGATCTATCAACTCACTATTAATATATTGTCATCATAGTGGGTCAAAAATTTTAAACTGACACAGTACACTGAGAAGGGAACCCCACCTGCAGTTCCTCCTTGGTTATTTACATATTTATCTGATTATGATAACTGACAAGAAACACCATTTTCTTTCAGTTAAGGATAAAGGGAGATGCAGTAATAGAATCTCCATCTTACGAAAAAGTGGTTTGGATACGTAGGAAAGAGATAACAGGCAAGTTTGTTTGTCTACTGTCTGCGGGCTCAAGTATTATGACACTTAGTAGACCTTATAAACTATCAAGAATTGTGTATTAGCAAGCAATCAAGCTATAATGCCCCCTTAATATCTTCCTTAGGGGTAAATTTACCTGATAAAAAACGTGAACTCTAAAGAGAGTTAATTACATAGCACCCAAAAGAAATCTCATCATCTTGTAGAGGAACTATGATGAAGATAGATGGACGATATAAAAGAGAGTTCTACAAGCCTTATAAATGAAAGCAATTTCATCTGAACACATTGAATATGTACAAACAACAGAAGTAACTTACTAGGTCAGCAACAGAGCCACCGGCCATGTACTCCATTATTATCCAAAGTTTTGTCTGGTGGAGATAGGAACCGTAATACTCTGTAATATAAGGAGATCGACATTGTGACAAAACTGAAATTTCCTGGAACACATACAAGCTCAATTTAGAAAACAAATATTTGTATAATCATAGTGACAATATCCTAACTCTAAAGATTATGAGTGGCACCTTCTGAATATCCTCAATCTCATCCTCTCTGCAGAAAATAATAAGTAAAAGAAAATGTAACGTTAGTTTCATAGCTTTATGAATATCAAATAGATAAGGGATGCTTGAAGGAGAAAGATTAATAATACGATATGCAAAATAATAATGAATCACAACTATCCATGTCGTATTCCATTGCACAGAACTTTCTGATGAGGGCCATTAGCATGAATAAGGACAGAATAACTTCATTTAACTAAGTCGATCAAAGACAAAATATATGGAGTGCAAGTTCAGTGCAAATAGAGGCCCAAATGAGTTAGGGGTGAGGATCGGAGACCAAGAAGTACCAAAGAGCGACCACTTTCGCTACTTAGGATCTATCTTGCAAAAGAATGGAGAATTAGATGGAGACCTCAACCATAGAATACAAGCTAGATGGATGAAGTGGAAGAGTGTATCCGGCGTGTTGTGTGACCGTTGTATGCCACTGAAGCTCAAGGAAAAATTTTATAGGATGGCAATAAGGCCGGCAATGCTATATCGCACAGAATGTTGGGCGGTGAAGTAGAAGTGGCCGAAATTAAAGGAAAGATGAGAAAAAATCGGTTACGGTGGTTTGGACATGTGCAACGAAGGCCTACTGACGCTCCGGTTAGAAGATGCGACTACGGGACAGAGGTCCAGGGCCAAAGGGGTAGAGGAAGACCTAGGAAGACTTTGGAAGAGACTTTAAGAAAAGACTTAGAGTACTTGGATCTAACGGAGGACATGACATAAAACCAAGCGCAATGGCGTTCTAGGATTCATATAGCCGACCCCACTTAGAGGGAAAAGGTTTTGTTGTTGTTGTTGTTGTTGTTGTTGGTTGAAATCAACTTCTCTCTGGTGAGTGAGAATGTTGAAATCAACTTTACTTTCTGCATTCACTAACTATATAAGAGGTCGCACTTGGTGCGATGGCAAGTGCCTTCGCCCATGAGCGGTAGGTCTCGGGTTCGAGACTTGGGAGCAGCCTCTCCATAAATGGGGGTAAGGCTAGCCGACATTCACCTCTCCCAGACCCTGCGTAAAGCGGGAGCCTTGTACACTGGGTACGACCTTTATTCACTAACTATATAGCTATCAGTATAACCCTATGTGTGCTTTATGAAATTTCATATCCTGTCTTGAAATTTACCCACTAAAAGTAATCGACAAAGAGAGGAAAGTTCCTATCATGGCAACAGCCTGGAGCAGTAAAAAGAAAAACATATAATTAGATTCAAAGCAATATACTTACGATTCTTCTAAATCAATTACTTTAATTGCAACTTCCTTGTTAAGCTCTTTATCAAACCTGTAAGACAGAAAAGGAGTCAGGGGCCACCAGCTTAGGAGATAACCAATCTTACATTACGCTAAACCTGACATACATTTAAACAGATTTCACCACAATCAATCACAACGTATCCATATATATATATAACAACCATGCATATTACGTACAGCCATGTGCTAGTATTTGAAAGGGCCACAAAGTGAAACAAGTAATTGCAGAAATCCAGTGGCAGTAACATGTACGGTTTTTCCACATAACACTTTTAAGTACCTTCTGTAAGTCAGGTATAATTTGAAGTTGTTCAATTAGACAGATGATGAGCCCAACAAGTCATCATACAAGGGCTTGTTATACAAAGTTATACACTATGCATTTATAAACTGGAACTTACGCTTTATACACATCACCAAACGATCCTCTTCCAATTAGCTCCAATGAACTAAATCTTGATCCTGCAGCCTCTGCCAAAGCTGCTGCATCATCAGCCATTTTCGTGCACAAGTTGCTTCCCCCTTTGCCCGCTTAACCAGTAAAACGAAGGTCACTAAACAACACTACAATATCACCAAATTCTTCCAACACCCGAACTTCCAATTCACAACCCCAAATTCACCCAATATCAGTTTCTATGAAGCCAAATATATATTGGCTTTGGATACGAAATCTGAAACGGCATTAGCAAACACAAAACTAATCAGCCCATGCAAATGAATCCAAATGTACCACAATCAACAGACCAAAAAAAACATAAAGAAACAAATTTTTGATAACACAGAGAAATGGAAATGGCAAGACACAATGCAATACAAGCTCTTGGACTCAAAGCAAAGCATATGGTTTGCTGTAATTGACCAACACTTGTTAGGTCAAGTGGGATTCCCACATAGTGACATCCCAACATAATGGAAAATTATACCAAAAAAAACTCCAATCAATGAAAGGGAAATATAAACAACCCACATGCGGCTCCCATCCGGGGTCCTTGAATTTCATCCAAATTTCAAATCTAAACGCAATGATTCACAGAAAAGTCGAGATTTGAGACTTACCCTTTACACAAAATGCGATTTTGATACGAATCTGTATGCCCGAGAAGCTAATGTCTGCGTATTGAATCCATGGGTGGATCTCTTTCGCGTCGTATCTGTATCGGGGGCTCTTTCTCCCTCCCTCTCCCACTGCACAGAAGCTTTGAGAGCTTCAAAGGAATCGAAGAGAAAGTGTTTTGGGTTCAATTTTCTTTTATTATATTTATTAAATAATTAAGTCCTAATTTCATAGTGTTTTTTACCTTGTTGTAAATTTTCCATTCCAGAAAACTTTAATTTGGGTTTGATCCGGTTCTTGGAACAACCCGCCAACACAGTTCAGCAAAACTTGGCAATATAGTACTTTTCATCTTTTGAGTTTTTTTTTTTTAATTAATACATTTTCCTTCGTAATTAAAAATGAATTTTAACGAAAAATTTCCGGTACTGTTCATTTTAACGAAAAATCACACGTTGACAAAAAAAAATCAATCATGGTATTATTTGGAATAGTCATTATTGGCAGGTTTATTACTCTGTAATTAAAATGGGAGATTGAATTAATGAAGAATTGAATTAAGAAGAAATCATAATCATATTTCTTTGGAGGTTGTTTACTAAACTGTTTGGAATCGGGATATGAATGATATTGATTCTATAGAAGCTGTTTACCAATTAAAACATGAATCCATAAAAAAACCAACTGATTAGTAAACTGTCACTAGTTTAAATAAATTACATTAAATTGTTTTATCTAATAATTAATAGAATTTAATTTCATAACAACTTAACTCATAAATGATAGAAATTTGATGTGGGTTTAGCCTCACAATGAGTTAGCAGTAATATGGTTCAAATTCGTCTTTGGTGAGAATCAGGACATACGTGGCATGCGCCATGTCCCTCACAAATCATGCACATCGATATGACTCATCAAAATCGAACGAGTCATCAAGAAGGACATGAGTCAACACTTGGTGGAAATAAATTATTTGATTTTAATTTAATTAAATCAAATATTAATTGATGGAGTCAAATCACGAACCAGCCTACAAATCGAGTCATGATTCTTTCATCAATTGATCAAGCCCACTCCAAATGGTGGGCTAAGAGAGCCTATAAATACGAAACTCAAAGACAAAGAAAGGGCCAGAAAATTATTCATGCTCAAACGCTGAAGCCTTGAAATTCTGAAACTCTCAAGCATTCAAACTCATACTCAAACACGAAAACCATCGGCGTTCTTCGTCAAACCCGTGAAGAACCACCAAGCACACACATACGTGCCAGTTCCTTCATTGTCAAGAGCCAAAACATTGTGGCATTCCTTCGTCCAAGATCAAGTAATCGCGACCCTTGGATCAACAACACTACACACTTGTTTTTTGAGAGATCGAATCAGAGGATTCAAATTGTAAAGATTGTAACCCTACATTTACTTTAATACAAATATTACTTTGTAAACGTGTTTCTCTTGCTATTTGCTATAGGATTTTTGTGTTTACATGAATATCACCAAACCATGATACTAGGTGACTAAATTCTTTAAACCAGCCGCCAATACCATTTTGCTATTTTTTAAAGGCCAAGAAGACCCATCCTCTCCTCTCCTCCCCACATCTATCTTCACCACTCCCTTATCCAATAGTAACCTTCTCAGCAGCAACCACCATTACCATTCTCTCCCTCCCTCATCTCTGTTTTATTTGCTTTGCATCTAACATGTCTCTCCTGAAAACAACAAAGACGGAATAGAACTCCTACAACTTCTAAGGTTTTCCTCGGTATCAATACACACATGCTACTGGTTACTATGTGCAGAGGTTGTATCAAACAACTTGAGGAATTGAGATATTAGAAAGAACAACATGCAATTCAATAGATACTTCCCCTCAGGGATTCAATTCCCTTTTTTGTATGACCATTCCTTCATATTTTGGTAAACACAAATCACCTGTAATCAAAATAATACTTTGACTTTTGATTCCAATTGCAGGCATGTAAACATGCCCTGAACGAATTAAGTTTTAAATCATTATTCCCAATAATAGTTAATATTATAAGAAAATAAAAACAAAATTATGCCATAAAATTTTTACATAAGAACGTGAAATCAAGGGGAAAAACAATAATTTTTTTTTTTTATATAGGGTCTATTAGACGGGTTGGTAAAATGATCCAATAACCACCATTATTTTTGTTTTTGGAGTAGTTCAAAACTACTATGATGGCTTTGTTACTTTATATATTTATTTCCTCTCATCATATTGCAGCAAAGACCTTGGGCATATTGGCAGGTCTGTTCCATCTTAGTGTACGTCCACCTCAACGCCTATACAAGGGATTACGTTTGGGAAATGTTGATATCGTCCTTTTTGTCATTTCCAGTAGTAAACAATCAACCTATTGATATTGGGAGAATTTTTTATCTTAGGGTAACTTTTATCCATTGAGGGATGGCCCTTCCACTCAGTACCCTTGGATCACTAAGGCCGACTTTCATCCCTAAATGGGTGGGTCTTGTATTCAAGCTTCCTTCTACCTTTGTTGAATATTTTAAGAGTATACTATAATGTAATATATATATATATATATATATATATATATATATATATATATATATATATATATGCGGCTGTTTGACGGGATGGGATTCAACCCAATAATCATACCTTTTGGAATGAAACAGTGCACCTTTTTTTTTCTATTGGCGAAAAGACATAATGCATCCCGTACATATGCATTTCTTTATGCCTCTTGTATCAGACATATACATTAGAAACATTGTTGCAATGTTCAGTTGTGTCTCATGATGAGAGGACACACCCAAAACCAAAAGATATGTGTAAAATGTGCAATTCTCTCTATATATATTGGTGACATTAGTAGAAAAGGATTCATTCAAAAATTTGTTGTATGCACAATTTCCTTGCTCTCTCTTCTCTCTCCATCACATTCATACAATTTCTTTCTAGTTATTTCTAAGGGAATATAATTCGGTTTTGCTAATCAAATATTTCATACTTTGTTGCATCCTTAAAGTGTTATTTGCCCCCACTCGAATGAGTTTGCTAAAGGGTTCTTGGCAAATCACTTCCAGGATACAACAAAGTATAGAATATTCAATTAGCAAAACCGAATTATATTCCCTTATAAATAACTAAAAAGAAATTGTATGAATGTGATGGAGAGAGAAGAAAGAGCAAGGAAATTGTGTATACAACAAATTTCTAACCGATCCTATTTGGACTTAGATTTTTTGTAGAAGTGATGGCTATTTATAGGGGTGTGACCGATCCTATTTGGAGAAATGGGGACCGGCCACTTATGGTGGTTTTTTACTCTAATTGCAAGATATTATGTCAAATAATATCTTGCAATCAATTAATTTTGGTAATTAATTCAAATTTGAAAAGGATAATTGGGAGTTACCTTGTGGGTGAGGATTTGATGAGGAGTTATGAGAGGGTTTAAAAGAAATGAAAACTAATGAAAATGTCTTAAAAACTTAGGCCTCGTTTGGCAGCTCGGACTGTACTGACTATTTCTGTCAGATAGGATAAATAGCCATCGGATAGTACTGACTAAATTAGTCGAGCGTTTGGTGCAGTATCGGACTAATCGTATTATTTATACTGTGTTTGGTATTATACCGGATAAGAGGAATCAAACTTAAAATAAAATTAAACTAAAAAAAAAAAAAAAAAAACTGAAATCAGCTTTTTGTTCCTAGATGTCTCCGCACCCCCAAACTCCCTCCCTTTCTCTCCCTTCTTCTTCTTCCCCGACTGCATAATCCCAAATAATTGTTCCCCATATCTCTCCACCGCACCCCCTAAACTCCCTCCCTCTTTCTCCCTTCTTCTTTTTCCCCGACTGCAGAAGAATCCCAAATAAATTCAAACAACCAGTTGCAGCAGAATCCCAAATTGAAATCATTTGTCAGCCGCACCATGTTTCTTTGCAAGACCTAGTTGCAGGGGAGGACGGCGAGTAGGCGATGAGGAAGGCCACAAGGAGAAGGCGAAAGGTGACGGCGAGGGGTGACGGCAATGGCGAGAAGTGACGGCGAGGACGGCGAGGACGGCGATGGCGAGAGGTGACGGCGTGGACGACAATGGCGAGAGAAGGTGACGGGGAGGACGACGACCTGCTTAAATAATCCGAGCCTTTTGGTTGGTTTTATTAAGCAGGCGTATACCTGCTTAAATAAGCAGACCGGTTAGATTAATCTGGTGCTTATTTAGTACGAAGGGACGCCAAACACCCGGCTCGGTATAACTAATCCTATCCGATCCTTCATCCGATCTGCCAAACAGGGCCTTAGAGTTTTAACGATAAGGACAAAATAAAGGGTAAAGTGAATAGTACCATGATTGACTTTTTAGTGTAAAAATGTGGTTTTTCATTAAAGTGAACAGTATTTTGAGTTTTTCATTAAAGTTTCCTTAAAAGAATACCATTTTGATTACTTTTGACCTTGATTGAGCCGTTATTGCCCGCTGCTTGTGCGTGGAAGTTCCGGTGTGCTTCAAGGATAATTTTGTCTTTTCACCTAAAAGTCCGCATTTATATTTTCCTTGATTATTTTTTTACTTCACGTTATGCATTGGGAGGAAAAGAATGACAGCATCGAGAAGATGCATTGCGTTCGTGACCATGCATTACGTGTGATTAATAACAAGAGGGAGAATAAGCAAATCTCAATTATTATCAAACATTCTCAAATTATTCATTTCACCCAGCTGGCTACCATAATAATTCATGTTTTTTATTAGAGAACAAAAATGTTGCTAATTTCTGTAACAAATTAATCTTTATTCTGTAATCTGCTTTTAAGGGCAATTGAAATTTTGAAATACGAATTAAATCTTAATTTTTTTAGTGTTTACTTTATTAATTTTAGTATTAGAAAAATGAATAATCTGAACTGATATATAACATACAATTCTTGCCGTGTGACATGCAGACCGATTTATCATTTTTACATGATCATCTGATTTATAGGCGTGTTGAGTCTGACCAAGAACTCTTATATATGCATATGGATTGGGTTGAATTAGAATTAGCTTATTGGGCCGAATTAGCTATAACTTAAATTTTACCATTTGTGGCGATGGAGGGCATTCCTTGGTAGACTCCATTGTAAATTCGATGATCCGATTTTATTGTGTAATTTGACTCGTCTAATTTTATAGAATTTATGTCCAAGTAATTAA